AAGTGAATGGCATTGGACAGGGTTTTATGTTAGAGAGAAGCGTTGATTTATGTGCCGTCAGAAGTTAGTCCTGGAAAGACATCTCACATTTGTAGGATTTTAGGCACAAATAAGGCAAACATTTCAGGGTGAGTCCTGTGGGCCTTGCGCTGCTCTCCGGTTCCCAATGCCTGGTATCCATGTAAGTAAACACTGCAGCGGTTGGCTACCACATTAGCTCACCTCACATGTGCTGCTGAGAGTGGGGCTGGGATGCTTGCGGTTGCTTAACTGAGTGATGCAAGCTCTTCTGAACACAGCGCTAGTGTTTATTTCCCTAGCTGTCTGTGTCCACCTATTTAAAGAAAACAGTAAGCTTGTTTGATACCTTTCCTCTGTTAAATATTACTTCTAAGCCACAGCTCCTAAAATGAGTTGTGTCTCTTTGGCTGCCTTAAATCCAGTACTGACTTCCAGCAAATTGTTTATGAAATGTATATTAAATTATTCCTAATAAAGCTGTTTTCTTCATAGTGGTCCCTAAGCATAGTTCTTGAAGTTTGTTGACTCTGAAAAACTTCAGCTCTCCTTTCTTTCCTGTGCCAGCTTCTAGCCTTGGACCTGCAACACGGGAGTTAGACTTCTCCAAGTGGTCCTGAGCCCCATTGTATTCCCTCCGCTCTCATCCAGCTCGGATTGCTTCCGTCTGCCCTGTCCAGGCTGCTGTTATCTCCAAAGTTTTTAATGCCTCAGGGCTAGTGTTTGTCTTTTCACGCCCCGTCACTCACTTACAGTCTGCCCCCCTTGACTTTTCTTTTTGTGACATTTTCCATTTTATGAACTTTGATAGGATGGCAGAAATCATGGGTTTTGGTTTTTGGGTGTTAGACTTTTTTTTACTTTTTTAAACAATGTTCTGTTTTGTTCTGACATGTCGTTAAATTGCTGAGTTACTTGGATGGAATGTAAACTAGAACATTTCTGATGGGGGTGAACACTGTCTCAACCAGTTTAAATGCACGTTAAGAAAGTACAGCAGTGTAGCTTCGCTGTCGGAGAGTAGCTTCTGGCTGGCTCCATGTGGCTCCCTGGCTCCTGGGCTGGCTGGCGCTCCTCATGTCTTTCTGGGCTGTATAAGGAGGAAGGGTGGATATGCTGTTTATGACAGTGCTCACCTACACTGCAGTGTGGCTCTTTAATGTTTGTTTGTAGAGTATCCCTCGTCCATGTCACACCCCCGAAATCCTGCACGGTGCTGCTGTGGAGGAAAGGGAGCTGCTCGTATTCTACTGAGCCCCCCGTTACCTCAACACCCGACACATTGGCTTTAATCCTCGTAAGGACAGGGTCTGCGGACTCTCTCAGAAGAGAGGTGTTGAGTAGTCCGTCTCAGATCCACACACTGAGCACAGTGCACAGCTGCACAGCCAGCGTTTCAATGTCAGTCCATGCCTAGGTCCACAGATCCCACACTGACAGTGATTCTAGCGCCATTTAAAAATATTTTTATCACTTCTTTGAGAGAACATTTTCGTCTTCTCCCACATCCACCTCCCATCTCATACCCCCTCAACTCTGTGTCCTCATTTCTTAAACACCCACCAAGTCCTATTCCTGCTGTTTGTATGTTTTTAGGTGTGAGACCGTCTCTTGGAGTGTGTTAGACCTACGAGAGTCACACCCTTGGTGAAACCGGATTCTTCCTCCCCCAGCAGACTTCTGTTACCAATAGCTCCTCAGCTAGGGGTAGGGCTTCATGTCCACTTCCACTCTCCGCGCTGGGATTTTGTCTGGCTGAAGCCTGTACAGGTCTCTGCACTGTGAGTTCATATGTGCGACTGCCCTGTTGTGTTTGGAATGGTTTCCATCCCCCATCTCTGGCTCTTACTTTCTGCTCCCTCTTTCACCAAGGAAGGGCATGCTCTAGATGTCTCCTGTTGGGCTGAGCATCCCCAGTCACTTAACATCTTGGCCAGTTGTGGGTCTCAGTGTTAACCACACTCTACTGTGCGGGTTGACAAATGCACTAACAGATGTGTCCAGGGAGAAATCACTAGGAGTTAATTCTGTGTTGATACTGTGTCCCTTTAGCAGAGTATTCATCCTAGAGTCTTTCCTAAGGCTTATGACCTCTCTAGCCACAGGTCCTCAAACTGGTGCCAGGTATGGGTTCCATCTTGTGGGTCAGGCCTTTAATTCAGTCAGAAAGTAGTTGGTTCCTCCCGTGCCATTTGTGCCACTATTGCCCCAGAGGGCATATCTTGGCACACTGGTCATTATTGTAGGTCACAGAGTTCACAGCAGGGGAAAATTGATGACTGCTTTTCTCCAGTAGCAAATATCGAACCATTCAGTACTGTGAAAACTAGCCAGTAAGGACGAGCTTCTAGGCCAATTGCAGCTCGATAGCTCCATGTTCTATGGCGCAAGTGTTTGACTCTCAAGTTTGGAAGGTAAGCAAGAGCAGTCTCAGTAGTCTGTGGGGCCTCACAGCCTGTTCTTGACATTGGCCTTTTTATCTGCTAGTGTGTGATGTGCTGTCTAGGGGGGCATTGTTGCTCCATTCAGAGTGACTGCATTGAAGTTCTTTTTAGGTTGTAAATGTTCATATTCTAGAAAGCTTCCGCAGTAGTATGAAGCACGATTAGTAAACATCAGAGAGAGAAATTGGGGTTCAACCTGAAGACCTGAAAAGCAAAGCACCCAACCACTGACTCTTACCTCGACTTTAGTCCAAAATGGTGATCCTGCCTCTGGGAATCTCAGAATGAGACTATGCATTGAGAGCTATTTCTTCCCATTTTATAATCCTCTTTAGGATTGGGATTAAAGGTGTGCACCACCGTGATTAAAGGCATGCACCGCCTGGTTTCTATGGCAACGAGTGTGGCTACTGGGATTAGAGGTGTGTGTCACTACCGCCAGGCTGTAAGGCTGACCAGTGGGGCTGTTTTACTCTCTGATCTTCAGGCAAGCTTTATTTATTAAAACACAGTTGAGAGGCCACTGCAGTAGTAGTTTTTCAGAAGGTTGTGAGCCACCATGTGGGTGCTGGGAACTGAACCCAGGTCCTTTGCCAGACAAGGCTCTTAACTGCCAAGCCATCTCCAGCCCAACATCCCTTTAGCTTGAGAGGAGTCCTTCTGTGAAACTCAGGCTGGCCTTGAACTTAGATCTGTGTGTGCCTCTACCTCCCAGAGCTGGGACTCTGCTGTTAAACCACCACACCTGGCAAACCGTGTAGTTCAGTAAAACTTTTGTGTTGTGCATGTGTGTATCTGCTGGCACATGCGCGTACTGACAGAGATAAATTGACAGGATATCTCCCTTGGCTGCTTTTTACTTTATATTTTTAGACGTAGCCTCTCACTGAGCCTGGAGCCTATAGGCACATGCCTCCACGCCACACTTTTCACATGGGTGTTGGCTGGGGCTCTGGACTCGGGTCCTCTTGCTCGTGCAGCAAGCACTTTACCTTCTAAGCCAGCCACTCAACCCACAATTTCTATTTTTCAGAAGATAGCCTTTGTTTTGATTTTGCTAGTTTATTAATAATGATGTCACACATCTTGAGCGTTTGTTTTGTTTTTTCTCATATCCTTGTGATTTTTGGATTAGCATTGGTCTTATGTTGAGACATTAGTTACCAGAAAGAAGACTGTACTGGACACAGTTTTGGGGTTGTGTTTAGGTGTTTATGAAGCTTATTTCATAGACAGTATTCAGAATGAGATGGGCAGTTGTGATGTACATATGCGAAACGTTAATTCCTGGTATGCCCATTTTGAGGTTTTAGAATTAGATATGCTCTCACTTGGTGTAACTGGATTTTACTGTGTGAGTTTCATAGAAAAGGAAATTTATCAAAATAGCCATGCTGCCTGAGAATTGGCTGGCTGGAGGCTGGCAGGCACTGTTTTCAGAAAACAAGTCGCAGAAGCACCGCCTCTATCAGAGAAGAGCAGGGAAGCTCTCCTGTCTGGGGCTGCCTCCTCTCACTGCACCTGTCTGAGGTTTGTGCTTTTTACCCTGCCACTCAATTTTATTTCTTTTTGTTCAAGACTTAAAGATTTTTTAAAATTATGTGCTTATTCTTTGGGAATGCCATACAATATTTTTTGACAAATTAAAAGATGGATAGCAAGAGTTTCTGTCGTAACTCTTTAGGTGGCTCAGTGGTGGTAGTGGGGTTTTCTGGACGCTGCATTGTGCCTCCCTTGTGGGCCGTGGAAATGCTCCTGCTCAGTCTGTGCCCTTCGGGAAGAGCTGGTGAGGCTCTGGAATCCAGGGCTGGACTGTGCTTGCCCCTCATCGCGTGCTTGCCAGAGCTGGGACACAGGCCTATTTTTAGCTCTGTCTGATTTGTAACTTCCAGTCTTTCACTGTTTTCTCTTTAATTTGTAGTTTTTGGTTTGAAACTCAGTTAGAAAGGGTTGGGAAACAGCATGCTAAGTGTGCCCACGTTGCACCTGACAGTTCACGCTAAGTGTGGCCCCAGGCACTGTCATTGCTCTCTTGCAGTGGAAGGAAGAGTTTCCACGGTGGAAACTAAAGGATTGCGAAGCTGCAGAGATGCAGGTGGAGAAGTTCTGCAGTGTTCTTGCCGCGCACCGCACCCCCGTGTCTGCGCTCTGTGCGCTATTACCCAGTTCGCGAGCTTCGGGCAAGGGGCTGAAGGTTGACAATACAGACACAGAGACAGACCGACACATGCAGAGACAGATCAACACACGGACCTCCCAACACTGGTTCAGAAAGCCCCTCTTTATTAACACCATGTAGGCTTAAATACACTGCAGTCAATGGCCAACAGGTGATAATCCCATCCTCTGAGCCTCTAACTAGGCACAGCTTCTAGTAACTTCAATTAGAAGGTTCTAGCAGGGTAGAGCATCTGAAGGCCAGGACTCATTAATCCCAACATCCAGCTGAAGGCCAGGACTTAATTGGTCCCAACAGTTCTCAAAGCTGCGAATGCAGCCCCTGTGCCGCTAACACTTGCTCTTTATTGCTTCTCCTAGGCCAGAGTGCATGTTGGGAGAGTCAGCTTGCAAGAGTCTGGAATCTGACCCAGAGGACTTTTCTGATGAGGCGAATTCAGAAAACCTCTACAGCACCTCACCCCCGAGCACGCCCCGGCAGATGAAGCGCCTGTCAACCAAGCACCAGAGGAACAGCCTGGGGAGGCCCGCCAGCCGCTCCAATTTGAAAGGTGAGCCTGTGACTTAAAGGTGCCCGTGCAAGGGTGTGTCAGGTTCAACGCCTCACCTTTATGTGACTGTATTGATTGACAAGTCTTTTTGACAGTGTTAATGACTCCTTTGTTTTAAATTTTACCTCAGTGTTGGCGGTAGGGTTTGTAATTTGAATTATTGGCACTAGCTGTGTTGCTAGTGGAGGGACAGTGATTATCCAGTGGAGGAAGCTTTGTCCTGGGCTGTGGTTGACGTCAGTGACAGTGAAGGAGGCTGGTTGTTTGCCAGCCTGCACACTCAAGGTGGCTACATACTACGGCAATGGCCTTAGTCTCTTGCCTGGGCTTTCCAAGTTCTTCTCTCCAGCAATTGTGTATGGGGGATCTGAGAGGCGACAGCCAGGCTGGAACTAACCAAAGCCTCTGTCTTCTGCCAGTGACACAGTGTGTAGGGCTCTTGCTTGCTGTCTTAGTTAGGGTATCTATTGCTGTGAAAAGGCTCTATGGCTAACTCTTATAAAGGAAAACATCTGATTGGGGGCTGGCTTACAGTTCAGAGGTTTAGTCCATTGTCATCATGGTGGGGCATGGCAGCATGCAGGCAGACATGGTGCTGGAGAAAGAGCTGAGAGTTCTACATTTTGATCCGCAGGCAACAGGAAGTGAACTGTGACACTGGGTGTGGCTGAGGCATATATGAGACCTCAAAGTCCACCCCCACAATGACACACTTCCTCTAATAAGGCCACACCTATTCCAACAATGCCATACCTTCTAATAGTGCTGCTCCCTATGGGAACCATTTTCTTTCAAACCACCACACTTGCTAAGCAACTGCTAGATGGGGGACCCCAAATCCAGAAGCCATAGAGGGAACCTAGGTGGTATCCAAGGTCCAGGTGCCATGGAGGCAACCTAGCTGGTACCCTAGATCCGGGACTCGTAGAGGAAACTGGATGGTACCTCATATCTGGGACCGTGGAGAAAACATAGATGGTACCACTGAGGGAATATAGATAGCACCCCAGATCTGGGGTCCACTGAAGGAACCTGTTCTTTCCCTTCCTGTTTGTGTAGGCTCTCAGAGCCCAGCTATGTCCTGTCCTAGAAGCTGACAGCATGGCTCTGTCTTCTTAACTTCCTCTGACTCATCCTAACTGTCCTTCCCCCAGGTGGGTGAGTGGACCTTTGCCAAGATGCCCTCAGTGTGCTCTGCTTATGTCCTACAGCCCAGTTACTGAAACCTCGGGGTTTTACAGTTTTCAGTCCAGCAAACCACTTTCTCCTCGGCTGAGGGTTTCCTCCCTTTGACCTGTGGGCCATTTCTTCTCTCTTTGTCCTTAGCTTTTTCTTTTCCTTGTTCAGTTCCCATCTCTGCCTCCCAAGTGCTGGGATTAAATATGTGCCAGCCCCATGCAATGATTTTCTTACAAGTAGTTAATTTTAAACTTTGTTTTAGAATATTTATTTACAGTAGAATTTTGATATAGCTATAGTTTAGACACTAATAACTGTATTAAGCATGTGACCTTGAGTATCTATCTCTGTCCATTTTCCCAGAGGAATCTCTCACTTGCCCCCTGAGGTTTCTGGCCTAAAACATAAGTGTCAGAGACAGGACACCCGCTGAGTCTGCCATTCAGCCAGCATTTGCTGGGTGCTGGGCCAGCCGTCACGGTATGTCCTCTCCTCATTGCTTGGTGGGCCAGGTTGAACATCTAGGAAACTGAGACTTGGGGGTTAAAGCAATCAGTTTGGACCTTATCTCCAGACGTGCGACAGGTTGGGCATATGTCACTGCTCCCCGCTCCTGTCCTTCTGCTGTATAGAGAATGGATGGAAAAGGACAACCTTCACTTTCCCTCCTTAATCGCTTTGAATTATGTTTCTTAAATAATACAGTTTGAGGGATGGAAGGGGTCTTAGTCACTCACATGTCCTCTGGAGGTGCTTCAAGTGAAGCAGCTAACTCTTGGGTTGTCACAGCTGTCTAGTCCAGGAACATGGGGACCTTTGTCACTTCTCTTTCTTAGTGCAAAGGATTGCAGATTGGTTGTGAAGCTTAGACACACAAACAGAAAAATCACTGGCACTGTTGGAAAAAATGAGCCCTTTGAGCGCATAGGCCTGCTGTCTGCTTGAGTCTTTAACTGCGTTTACTATTGACAGTGGGCTTCTGTGCTTACTGCTTTCTGAGCGGCCTATGCCTCCTAGTGACCTGTGCTCCTGGCTCCTGGGTGTGCAGTGTTCTCATGGACGTGGTAGAGAGTAGCTACACATGTGCTGTCCTGTGAATTTTCTGTTGTCAGATTTTGTTCATAAATGCCAAGAACAGATGGATGAGGCACCCAGCTGGGGCAAGTGAGCCATCCTTTAATAACCGTGGTATTTGTGTTGTGACAGTCACAGTAGCCCCATGGAACTCATTCGCCCTCAGAACTTAGATGTGTCGAATGCTGCACACGCGTCCAAACACGGTAGCTGTGTCATGTGGTACACACGTGTCCAAACACGGTCGCTGTGTTGTGTGGTGCACATGTGTCCAAACACGGTCGCTGTGTTGTGTGGTGCACACGCGTCCAAAACAGGTGCCGATATGCCTGGACTCCCTTCTGGCTCAGGGACGTTCTGGGTGTGCAACCTACTGGGTGTCATTCCCTTACCTGTGAACTTGTTTTTTACAGTGTGTTGGGGTTATGTGATAACTGTCATTATTATTACTTTAAACTAAAATTTTCCCTCAACACTTTTCTCTTTGCCTTAAATCTTAAAATAAGATTATATTCTTACATTTTTTTATCTTATTAATTAGCAGCCACATGAAGACTTTGATTGGCTGCTTGTGGTCACATGGCTATTTTGCCTGTATCTTTCTTCCTGGACATGTACCCTTTTTCACTGTGGCTACTGTAGCTGTTGCTGTTTAGTCTTTCCCTTCTCCCCCTTTTGTTTTTTCTTCTTCCTTCTCTTCTGTCTGTCCATGTTTCTCCTTCGTCCTTTCCATTGACTCCACAGACACATCCTCTCATAGATGATAGGTAAGACATGTTCCCGTGTCTCGCAGGGAACCTACAGCTCAGACAGCACAGGTGGGCATTGAGAAGACCCGGTAGTCCCAGCTCCTGCAGGCAACCCACGACTCAGAGGCGCAGCCTAGTGTGGTCTACTTTCCCGGCATCCGGCCGCCCGCATGGCTAGCTTTACCCAAAATAATTACACGGAAACTGTATTCTTTTAAAAACACTGCCTGGCCCGTTAGTTTCAGCCTGCTATTGGCTAACTCTTACATATTGATCTAACCCATTTCTAATAATCTATGTAGCACCACGAGGTGCGCTTACCCGGAAAGATCTTAACCTGCGTCTGTCTGGAGTGGGAGAACCATGGCGACTCCCTGACTCAGCTTCTTTCTCCCAGCATTCTGTTCTGTTTACTCCACCCACCTAAGGGTTGGCCTATCAACTGGGCCTAGGCAGTTTCTTCACTAATTAACCAACGAAAGCAACAGATTAGAAAGAAATGACTCCCACATCATGTTCAGGTGCATGAGGTCACCAAGGGTGCACAGGAGGGGCTTTGAGAAGACCCCCTGGACGACTTCCAGAACCAGTGATTCTTGTGCTGTGACCAGGCTGAGTCAGAGGAGCATGGTTTCAGACCAGTGCCTGAGTCATCACTGTCTGTTGGTCCCTCAGTGATTGAGAGCTCTGTAGAGCTATCAGCTTGGTCAGATTTCTTTCCAGAGCTTTCTGAGGTCTGGACTGGAGCGTTAGTCCTGCTTCCCAGTGACTCTGTGAGTCACACTGTTAACTTCAGGGCTGCAGTCCTAGTTGGACTCACCTTTCGGACAGTGAGTCCCTGATGAGATTTCCGTTATTCTGATTATCTATTGCTCTTTATAAACCACCTTGAAACTCTGGCTGACAGTGTATCTGTTCACTGCTCATATTCTGTCATGCAGGTGTTTAGGCAAAGTAGACGGTTATCTGCCCATGGTGTCTGGAGCCTTGGCTGGAGTGGTTCCATTGGCTGGATATATGGCTTGGCTTGGCTAGGGTCCCGACTGAGCCCTTAACCCTTCTCCGTGTGGTGCCCGCTGTGTCTCAGATGTCCCAGGTGGCTCCCTTGCTTTCATGGCTGCGTCTGAGCTGAGATGGCACTACCAGGCGAGGGCTGCCAGACACTGTTTTGTCCCTGTGGTAGTTTACAAGGTTAGCATGGATGTGAGCAGAGTGGCCTAGTCCCTGAGGAGTTGAACCTGTCACATGCATGAGGTTTCTCTCAGCAAGGTTTTGAGAGTCTAGTGTAGAGGTTCTGAGGCTTCCTGAGATTTGACCTTGCAAGTCTTGACACATCCCTTCTACTGCACTTCCTTGTGTGCAGTGCCAGCCACGTGCTTCGGGAGGGGCTTCACAGGGCCCCAGGAACCAGAGGTTGGTTCATTGGCTGTCGTGGACCAGCCCTGCAGGCCTGCCTGGAAAGCTCTGGGGAATTGGCATGCTGTCCTGTTGTCTTTTGTGTACTCTTGGCACTTCTTCCTCAAAATGCTAGAAAAGTGGGAGTGTAAGTCCCAGAGAGTCACTGAGAGCAGAGCTCAGATGGGGTGTGTTGCTACCAGGGCCGTCTCTAACTTTTGCAGTGGAAGTCATTGTTATAGATGTGATTTTAAGGTATTATTTCAGGCTCAGAGTGAGGCAACTTATGGTGTAGGCTTGAGTTTTAGGGTTTCTAAGTTCAGGTTCTGAAGATCTGTAGCACTCTGGTGCATATGTTGGTTCTTACTGAAATTATGTGGTGGAATCACAATAGTGCTGATTTCCTGTGGATTTCTATTAGTGATGTGTTGGAATGGTAAACTCAAGCAGTGACATCACAGGTGAGACACTGGTACTGGGAAGAGCTCAGCATCCTAGGGGCGGGCTCAGCATCCTAGCGGGAGAGCTCTGCATCCTAGTGAACTCTGCATCCTAGCGGGCAAGCTCTGCTTCCTAGCCGGTGAGCTCTGCATCCCAGCGGGT